CTGTACTGTACTTCGGCCGCACAATCCGACGCCCCTTCTTTATTATCCTGGTCACTACACCAGCATTCCGCCGAGGAAATCAGAATTGAACGCAAGAAACTTAACTGGCGCCTCTCGAGTGTCAATGAAACGCATAAGCAACAGACAAGGAATCATGATGAAGCAATATCCGAGACCGTCACAACACTAGCGGGACGGAAAATGGGCGGAAAAACGAATCCGAGCTTCAGATAAGCTGGAACATGGATGACGGAATTTGATGAATCGTGACATTGTCTCATGAGACGGCACTTCGCATATCCTACACGATATAGATGTATAGCCAGGTCTTCCTAATTCAGTTAGTTGGGAGCTTCGGCAACACAGTTGAGAGTCAGCAAGGAAAATAACCGTATGTGTTATAACTGTGCATTATTGTCCGGTTGAGCGGCAGGAAGCGAAGAGAAAACTTTTTGGATCCCTCCTGATCTCCCTAGAACCCGTACGGTATTGCACGCCCATACTGCGTCTCAATTAACGAATGGAAGCAGCATCGCTACCGTTGCAGGACAAGTTGCACATTTCAGCAATACTCTCATTGACTTCAATAAATAGTGCAGTAAATATTGGAAGTACTGCACAGTACTGCAAAATCTACCTGTCCGCCACAAGAAATTATTTTCTTGTTTTTCTCGACATTCACCGAGTCTCAAAATCACCAGTTTTACTGGAGGAATTTTGGGGTGCAGCTTATCTCGTAAAATCGAGATTTTTATGCGGGCACTGACACTGATCAACGGCATGTAAGGAGTTATACCGAGAGCTAGATGCCGTGAAACCCATAAAAGGGTCAAGAAATCCATGTGATATCTGAGTCGGACAAGAGCAGCTTTCTCCGCCCGAGAGGCATCCAGATACGGACGCAAATAGGGAGAGTTGCACTTGATGAAAGGCAATGAAACGTCCGCATCGTCCTCGGCCGCATGCAACCCGCTCGCCGCCGATAAGTCCGCGAGACAAAAGGTCGGGAACGGGGCCAGAAAAACGTCGAAAAGCGGTCAGGGATTATCCGCAGGCGGCACCCGTGGCTGCATCATCAACGTCGACGCTGGAACGTCGGCGCCAGGGAGTACTGGCGCTGGGCGGCAGCCGGCGGATGACACGCGGCCACGCGCTCGCTAATGCTCATGTCACGGGGAAATGAGCCCGTGAATACTGCAGTAGCGACCCCCTCGACGTCGACGCTCCCCGAAAACACCATTCAGGACTCGTCTGGTGACCTACAGGACATCCAGGCTTCCCCAGTCATCGAGTTAACGCCATGAGCTCCGATGTTCGGGGGCTTCCTCGCCGCTGCGAACAGGAACCCCTCGAGATTTCATCTCTCTCCATAATGTTTTCTGCAACGTCCTTCGCTTGCCAACGGCTTTCCATACACGCGGGTTTTTTCCACTAACCACGAAATGTTTGACCAGGATAACTTCCCGCGAGTACATCTAGAGCACAGAAGTTCTCAAAAATGTTGAACGAAATTTAAACGGTAAAAAACACAAGCTTGGTATCATCATTTGACATGATGAGTATGAAGGGAGTTATCAGCCAATAAAAACGGGCCTACTATGTCTATAAATAACTGGCAGAGACCACTCCAAGTGATTTGCATAAAAGACTTACATTGAAATTGATCATCGCAGAGCTGAAATCGTCATCACCACCACTTAATATCGATTGCAATCGAACCCCACCTTACTTCTGCCGATAGGACCTGGGTAACGATCCAAACCAACCCTCCGCTAATTTTCGAACTATCATAAGAAGATACACCGTGCGACATGTTTTCGAGTTGGACAATCGCCGCCGGTTTTGAGATATTGATTTTCAAGCTACAGTAGTAAGTAAACAAATTAATGACATTACACAGTACTGCACATCGATAAGTACAGTGTATAAAATGCGTCGAAAAATTATCGGGCTCCATCGGCGAAACGTCATTGAACAGCAAACAAACCGTACGAATGCGAGCATCGAGTTCGTAAACAATTTCCAGTCGCTCTTCGATTAAAATACAGTACAAACAGATCGGTTCGATTTCTTCTTAGCGGCACGAAATCCGATCATTCAGTAACTGCACGAGGTGGAAGATTTTAGTATTATATTTCTTTCTCAATCCAAAATTTACGTACGAACTAAAAAGGGAACAGAAAAGCAGAAAGCTGGAAACGCTTCCCTTCGCTTCCGAACCCAACAAAGCGAACAACAAGCACGGACACGTAACAACGTCTTCAGCTCAATCCAGGATTAGCTTCCAGCCGGAGAAAAACAAGAGAAGTCTCGGGGAAAGCGTTTCAGAAGGGGCTCCAAGACACCCAGAAGTTCATTCCCACCGCGGAAGTGCAAACATGGAAAGAGGGAATTTCACTGTGAAAGTGAAGTACACACATCAAATAGAAGAAACTATGACAGAATCAAATAGAAGGAACTCCGACGTCGGTCCTTAATTCCATCACGTCATTACTCCATTTCTCACCGCACTCTCGCGCCGAGCAGACGAATTCTATAGCTCCCGATTCGATTGAATCGATACAAGTTCATTGAGGACGATCCTTGAAGAACCAGCCTAACGTAAAAGATTGCCCGCTACTAAACCCGCAAGACAAACTCGATTCTTCGATTTCACTCAATCCAGTGTAACCGATTCGTGGAAAACGTGGCATTATGTTATTGAGGATAAAAACACCTATATCCGTCGTTTCACCAAGCTGACAGATTGAAATACTGAAAGTGATTTTCCACCGGGAAAAATGGGGATTACATTCAGCTAATTCACAACGAAGGCATTAACTCACGCGAGATAATGAAACTGTTTACAGTCGTTTCCACGAATTATCCACGATATGAAACATCGAATATCTTCCACCCGCGGAAAGTTGTTGCACCTCATCCGCACGTCTTTTTATTCTCCAGAGAATTTTGCTTTCCCGCAAACTGAAGCAGATTCCATCGGTTTTGGGAGGCAAATGGCAACTTCGCCGGGAATTCCACTCGGCATGAAGAGAACTGGCACGTAGTCTGAACAGAGCCCCATTTACAACCAGGGCAATCCACTCTGGGCACTCGAGCGCATAGATGTTGTGAAAAGCTCCCCGGCGATATGACCGTATACAAAAATATACCGTAAATTTCACGGGACCGGCATTCTTCGGAATGGGGTTTTTAACCCCGTGGGATTTGCATTCCCGCGGGATTGCTGCGGAACCCGCTATCGGGACGGCGCCAGTGCATATCAATTCCTCCCTCAGACGCGAGTGTCCGGGGAAGGCGTCAAGACCCTAAAGGAAAACTTAAACGAAGACTCGACGAAATGGGAATCGGCTCTCAATCCCAGCTAAAGCCGCTGCGATGATCCTTTTTACATGCGGTAAACTGATCACACTGTGCCATCAAACTCACTAGCATGCCGACAACCCGGCCACTCAACAAACGAAAAGCCTAGCCAAGCACGTGATAGCAACAAGCGTAGTCCAATGTTAAACCAGGGACAGGGGAAACATGTTAGAAGCGTGAAACCAAGCACAGTGCAACTCTTAATTACCCTTCTGTAAATGCCGTTCTCGCAGAAGCCGGCAGAGCGGGCGTACCGGGTCTGAAAAACCGAAAAGAACATACAGTTTGTAATGTCAGCGATTGTTTTTCTTTCATTCACTACGTCGACCCGTTCGGATTTCCCACATACTGTACTTGTTTTCACTCGCCTCAGCTTCGCCCATCCGAACTTTCATTGCCCTCGAACAATCCCACGTTGGAAGCCAGACTCTGTCAACACTGACGACGGTGGTCTTCACGGTACGCAAGCGGAAAATATGTTCGCGCGCAGGAGGGAATCACGAAGCCGCAAGCACCAAATAACACGGCCTGCGGTTTTCAGCCTGACAGGCGAGCATTTTTGTCTTAGACGGTTCGACCCTTCTTACGAGCTCATCTTCAAGCGCACACTGCGATAATACTTACCTTTCAAATTCTGACGTGGCTTACCCACACACTCTCCGGATACTCATCGCGGAACAACAACCGTTGAATTGCCCATTCGTGGGATGATTCAATTCTTGCATTCGAAAGTGGTGAGGCAGATGAGGAGGAGTATGAATTGTAATGCAAGTGATTCAGTAAAATCATTGAAGTACAGTACTGATGTTTTGTCGACAAGAAAAGGATTTTACAGCAGGGGGGAGAAGCCAAATTCCAAGGGACGGACGAGAACTGCGCTAAATGTTGAAGTAATAAAAGTCCCAATACGTCTCGTCAGAACCGCCGATGAGATTTCAGCGTTTTAAATTGCTTGCACAACACAGGAATTGATTATTTCTTCACGATCCCAGATACTGTACTCCCCTTTAGTGAAGGGTTTGTTTGAACAACCACGGGGATCACGGCTTCTCGTAATCATTGCCGCAAAGCTTCCCCCAAAAACTCCTTCCATTATTCATTTTCTCACCACTTCCAATCTTTCCACGGGGTTGTCGCGAACAGATCAGAAAAAAAAAACGCAGGGAGCCAGTTTTTCCTACCATCGATCAGTGCCGTTATCTAGTCCCATAATTCGCGAAAAAATGCAAAGGAAAAGTACCGCAACAAAGAAAGTACTCACGTGGCGTTCCTCCGGTGCGTTCAAGGCTGAAAGAAAAGAAAAACCACATAGGCGTCATATCTTCGCTCAAATAAAGAAAAACAATTTGGAAAGATGTAGGAAATAGCAGGCAATCAAATACTGAAGAAGTCAATCCGAACCGATGGCACCGATTTCCCGTTGAAATTACACACTCCAGCGCACATCCATCCAACCAACAGTTGGGCCGATTCTACTCCGCGTATTATTTGCTGCTTCTTCGTAAAAACAAACCGCAAGCGAACGCATAAATGCTTGCGCTATGGCGAGCGTCAACAAATAGGTTCTCCATGCTCAATGGATAAGGAGGATGTAAACAAAGGGAAGCAATGACTTCCATGCACGTGGGCACTGCGAGTTAAGTCGTTCGCTTGCGCATTCGATTAATGGAGAACAAGGGGGCTCTGTGGCCACCGATTCGCGCAGAATTACGAAGAACTGTGTCTGAATAGTACAATAAAAAAACCTAATGTAGCCACGGCGCCTAGAGAGGGAAGTGCACAGCAGAACAGGAAAAGGAATGCACAGAGAAGGAAATAAGGGGAAGGCGAGTCGGATAAATTCGGCTCACCAGGCATCGGCTTCTCTTCCCGAATGTGCGGGGCCTCGGCTTTGGAGCCGAGCAGAGACATGGGGTGCGGGCCCAAACCGCCGGTCAGAGCGAGGATACCGGCGGCTGACGTGGGCGGCAACGGCGGCGGCCCCGGCGTAAGCATTCCGGGGAACGGAGGGGGTGCGTGCCCGCTCACGGGCACCTGCGCCGCGTGCATTTGTTGCTGCAACGAGACACACCACCGAACACATCATAATTGCCATCAACACGCGCTGAACGAGCCGAGTTCTGAGTGATTTCCGCGTGTGGATTCGAACACACCGTGGAATGAACACAGGTCAAGGCCCTCTCAAAACCGTGCACTAAAATCTTCACGACTTGGGTTTGTTTTCGGACTTCTTCCATTGGACTGAACTTCGAAGTGCAAGTTTTTGCGTCAGTTATTCTTAGTGTAACTTGGAATATCCTTACTTGGAAAAACTTATGCCGACTCAGCAGTTCAAAAACGTTCGACAGTCGCAAATCAATAGCAACTCTGACTCAGGCGGCAATTGAAAATTAACACATAAAAATGAGAGATCAAGACTTGGATGATGTATGTTTACAAAGGGGAAACAAAATGATTCTGTACATGTCCTATTTCGAGGGGACTCAATATTCCATAGACGCCGAACTTATCAATTGCATGCGACTAAAAATAGACGTCCACGGCAAAGCCAACAAAAAAATGTGAACAATTGAGCCACGTCGCATTCGTGATTGTTCAGCTTGCGCTCCCATTCGACCCGATCAATGATGTTCGGAAACGCTGGATATGAAGCCTCCGTTTATATTCAACCTCTCACTGAACTCTAGCGACATACACATGATCCGATTATTAATGCATAAAAACATTCATGAGCGATATTAAAAACTAATAGCGAGAGGAAAAACTGCACTTCGCCGCACGCATCCAGTTGGTCGACCAGCAGAGCGCTGTTTCGGGATTATAGAGCGACTCGAACAGAGAAATTGCCAGCCCAGCACGGAACAAGTGCCGGCTCTCACGGGAATTATTTACACATAGTTTAATCAAGAGTCCAGGGCTGCAGAACCCACCGCGGTTGCCCGTCGCCGCCAGACAGCCCAACAACCTCAGCTACATCTTATGACTCGACCACAGGCACTCACGACATCCGGGGCGGCGTGACCGGGATGTGCGTGAACAGAAAACACCCACGCCTTCCGCAACGATTCACATCGCAGCCGAGCATAGAAGCGGTTTCATAAACGCGTACTATCGAAATAACACTCGAAGTGTAGTCCAGGGGTTTCGAACAGGTGCTACGCATGTCATGTATACATGTAGTGGCACGTGGGTTGTTCCTGGGGCAGAGATGGAGTCTGAATGCATTAATCTTTAATTGAAACTGGATGCAAATGTGGAACATGTCATAAGAAACAAGTGAAAAAAACAGCACAATTGGTAGGCAATCGTGCGTATGTATGAACTAGTACAGTATACGGTTAATCCAAACTTCAGAAATTGATTGAATTTGGTACTGGGTCCTGAAATCAGCGTTTAGGTTAAGATAGTAAAAAAGAACAAATTTCAAACATCCTCGAAACGTCCTCCTCCGGTTTCAACCGGAAGAAAATCGCGTGAACAGCCTAAAAATTAATGATTCAAAATGAATGTCCGTTCGAACTTCGGTGCAATGGGAGGTTTCCTTCCAAAATTCCAACTATAGGACTTCCATCTAAATAAAAAATAATCCACAAAAAAGCTAATACAGTACGGTATCGAACTTACACCAATGATGGCATTCAGCTCAGTCATCGTCACTTGTTTCGCTCTGTCAACTGCTGCTGCAACTTGTTGCTGATGCTGTAAAAGACACGAACACATTAACAAGTCCATTAGATCCTGATCCCACTTGACTCACCTCTGGGGACAGGAAGGGCATGATTTGAACAAGGATGGCACTGAGTCTCTTGGCAATCTCCGTCTGTAAAGATATCAGGAAGAACATGTGTTCAGCACAACCGTAGAACATTTCTCAGTTCACAACATCCTAGAGCTCACTCGACACCCTCGATACGATTATCCGGGACATAGCGACCATAATTCGCAGATTTTCAATGCATCAAACTTGGTGAAAGTGACATCGAGAGAGAAAACCTTGTCGGGCATTTCAAAAGCAGAATTTTGAAAAAAATTAGCTGGATACATGGCTTAAGCGCAAGGAAGGACCTCGCGAGATTTCGAGGGCACACGTCAAATTAACTGGAGAATGCACCAAACCTACAGGAAATGAATTCAACCCAGTTCGGAACAATACGGCGAATATAAAATAACGATGGGTCGCTCAGTACTTCCAACCATGAAACGTACTCGAAGATGAGAGATTCTTACAGGAATAAATTTCCATTCAAAATTCCCGATTTAACCGTTCATGCAAAGCTTATCGTGGCAAAATGATCGGAGTCACGGGACGGAAAATCCAAATATCTTCTCTCAACCGCATGTGACTCAAACCATAATCGCAGCGGTCCTAACACACTTGAACGAATTATTGGCCGAATCCGGCATTCTGTCGACGAGATTCGTTGAGATCGCGGCATATGATTCAGGCCGAATTAATAAAGCCAGTTCAATTTCACGCCGCGATATGGAGTACGGCAACCAAGAGGAAGGAACAAATCAAAACATCGGAAAGTCGCCGAGATGGCAGATCAAAATCACGGTCACATTTCTCGGTTATGCTCCGGAGATCCGGCATGAAGTGCAGAGCTCAAGCCGAACGAAGGCACTTCGGATTAGCGACGACGACTTCCACACGCGACGCATCGCCGACCATTTTCATCGAGACTCCGCGAGCGTAAAAACGCCGACGAGCTCTATTTCACGCATCACGCCTCCCCACAGGCCTCATCCATCTGTCTGTTTCTCTTCGAGAGTTCCGCCTTCACACGAACTTGCCTCGGACACTCCATTCACACCAAAATTCCCTCCATCGCTCCATAAAAACCTGGTAATGGTGCGCATCGGATTGCTTGTAAGGCAGATCGAATCTAGCTGTCACTGACAAATAATGCCAACTTCTTCCCGGAAAAAGGTTAAAATGGTTCGGGTCACGCCGCGAAAACCAATGCATTCCAGAACAGTTCAGGGGTTACCGAAGGACTAACCGAGTACCATTACAGGAATTCAGCTACCTAGAAGTTAAAATAAGTACTGTCGATGGAATGTTACGTCTGAATTTCCTTCTCCCAACGCGGAACAAGTGAAACTTCGAGAACTGTTTTTCGCTCATGACAGTAGCTGATGCATGGAGACAAAACGAAGAGAGAAATCCATGGATTCTTCAAAATGAACGAAAGATACGATAAACGCGGGAATCCCCATTTCAGGCCGTCAAGATTACTTCGTGACAGAAGAGAAAACAGCATTTAAATCACCGAAGAACGTTAACGACAAGCCACATCGACGCAAGACATTTTCCAGTCGAGCAACATCGGCTGGTCCATTAACGACGAAATACAAAGCTTCTTCGGAGGGGGGGGGGGGGGGGGGGGAAACCNNGGGGGGGGGTAACCAGTAAAATTCACCCAATATGTATACAGTATTTTACTCATTTCCTGCATTACTTTATAGTTCTATCTTAAATTTTCAGCAAGTTCCATATATTTCTTCAATGATTCACCCATGTACAATCGTCTTGAAAGGTGAGAAGAGATAATGAGTGTGTTCAAACAAATTCCACTCAACATCGAACAAGAATCAATTCTGCAAGTGGTGATTTCCTACGGGGATATTTTCTTTTTGAATGGTTTTGTAGCCCGATACTTTTGCTGAATCTCTTTCTCGTGGATAATCTTTGTCGGGTTCTTTTTCTCCAGTCACCACAAGAAAACGTACACAGGCTATTTCCGTGTGGACAGTTCACACTACCATATGGGACGTGCATAAATTACCGACTTCCTACACCAACAGCTGTTTCAATGATACACCTGCGAAACTTACAACTACCCCGAAATTGAGATCACTTGCGGGGAAAACAAAGCACAAACCATTCCAACGGGATCCACTATGCATTACAAAACCAATTACAGCAAGCCGTCGTCGGGTTAATCTGATGGTAACTTCTTCAATGGAAATTTCTCGATAAGCGAATTTCACCGTTCACTCGGATGAGATAAACATATGCCGGGCTTCGTTCCTTCAGCATAGTAGAATCGCATCGGGGTCGCGAACACGATGGAGTAGAGTCGAGCAAGAACAAGCTCGGGAAACAAGCAAGTGCAGGTACTCACACAAACAGAACAATGCAATCCTCTCAGAGTACACGGAAAATGAATCGACTCACGACTGCGTATGCAAGAGCTACACGGAATCCGTGGGATGACAACGGGTCACGCGCATTCCTCAGGGCAGGCAGCAAGAACCAAGACAAAATGGAGTCACGAATCATGCTCAGCAGCCTGTTCGGAGAACACTTGCGAGGCACGCGTACGAAACAATCAGCGCCCGAGTTCATGCACTAGGTCTATCCGGCCGCGTTTTCCCCCTCAGCATCTGCACATCCGTCGCGTCGGACTTCCGGCCGCAAACTTCCCAGGAAAATGACACCAGTCGAAAATTCCGCGTCCCGGGGAACAAGCACCAAAACAAACGCGAACAATCGACGACAAACACGCACGCGGGGAGATGGATATGGAATATCCCCCCCATCTTACGAGTACGTGGCGTGTGCAAATATGTTCACCGGAGTTTGAGGGTAAGGCAGTGTTTGCACAACGCCGGGTCGCTCCGTGACTGCGAAAGGGGGAGAAACCTATTATACCTACGCACACCATGCATATTGCCCCAGTGTGATACGCCTTCTTCGGGGGCAAATAAGCAGGCAAGTGGACAAATATTGACGCTTCTTCCGTTTCGTCACTAAATCAGACATTTGCCTCCCGCTTCCCTCAGTGCGCCAGGGTTTACTCTCATGGATTTCGTGCGGGTTATCAGCCATACCGGAAAAAAACGCGAATCCTTCATCGGTCTGATGGGGCGAAGGTGGAAATAATCTCCACACAAAACATCACAAACTATCCCACGCTTATTCCTCCGTGACCCAAAAAACAAAGTGAAGAGATATTACCCTGTCAGAGAGGAGGACAATGTAATTTCAGAAGTCCATCATTGAATTAATGCCGTTCATGACGTAGAAGTCGCTGTGATGCCAACTTCTACGTTGAAATCACAGCGAATACCGTTACTGTATTATAGAAGAGCGTAGAGGCAGCATTCAGAGTCAGACAACGAAAATGCCTTCGAAAAATAAGGACTTAACTCAATATGTCCGAGTATAACCCCCACATCAGTCTCTGTGTGCGGCGTATACGCGAAATAGGGATACAGCACATCAACGCGGGAAATATGATCACCATCTACGCTAACTTATCATGAAAACGGAACTTTCATAGGACTTTGATCATCGATGCCCGGTAGTTTGTCTTATTTTGCTCCATTTGAACTTTTTATCGTGGGATTTCGCAAGATATGTACAACCAACGTTTCCACAAAAACTTCAAAGATTTGTTAGGGCCAAAAAAATTACAAAAAGGTTTCAGCCCCAGTCGAAAATACTCGTTCATGAGCAGAATTCACGGAAGTCGATTCTCGCAGAAAATTATTCAAGAAATGACGGCTTTCAAACGTGTGAAGTGGAATAAAAAAATCAGCAAAGCAGTGCTTTCCAGGAAACAGCACAAAGCATTCGGTAGTGGTTTTCCAGTCGTCTGACACCCTTCTGTTCTTGTAGCAAGACGATCACAACAACAAGTCAAAACACACATCTACGCAAAATAGGGTGATGTAGGAGAAAACTGCATCAGAGTGAAACGTCAAACACATTTCACGACGGGAATTCGTACACACAACCGCAGGGTCACATCAGCACGAGAGCCATGATTCCGAGGATGCGTCTAGTCTTCGGGAATGCGGGGAATGCTCGGATGAGAACGCGAGAATTTCAACTCAATGCACGAATCTATCCACACATCAAGAACGGAAAGTGCATCTGATTTTTCCAAGAAAATACAGTGAGTTCAATTTACAGTACATGCGAACTCAAACGAAATACGTAAAATCTGAATTATGCAGGCTGAAGCCAGTTTACAACCACCCAGATAGCCCAAAGCTGAAGATACTGTTACTCAAAAGTTAATGCAGTTTTTTCGAACTGTAACAATGCTACAGGTGGACTCCCTCTAAAACGATGTTCAAGGTACCAGAAAAAAATTCGTTGCAGAGAACCCCTAAAAGCTTAGGGAGAGAACCCTGTGGGACTAAATAATCGTTAAAACAGAGAAAATTTTTGCTGAGAAGATCGTTGTAGTGAGAGTCCACTGTACTGTACAACGGTGACGACAGATATTTTCCCACACTTTCACAGAGTGACACATTTTCCAGATTAATGTATACGCTTCTATTGAAAATATCGCGATGCGTAGTTGTTCGCTTTCGGTGCGTTGATGTATTTCTTCATGAGTTATATCCATTCTCATCAATTTGGCCTTGATTTTGCGGGGATTTCTCCATCAGAAAAAACAAGCCAGTTGAACGAGGAGAGTAACGCGCTTCGAATGAAAATCACATCGGCCACCTATATCCGACACTGTACATTAAAATGTGGACCCGGTCAAGCTAACCAACAATTAATCGACCATGCAGAATGATTTTTTCTTTACATCAGAAACCATGGAGTAAATTTTCAGCTGTTCTCCTCGAAGCATACGAAATAAACGGGAAAACAAATTCGGTCATGCTTGGCCTTGCGCTTTCGTAGCAACACCCGCACACTTCTTGACACGGTTTCCTTCATCAAAAGCAGTACTGACGACTAAATAAGGCAGGCCGAACGTAACATATCAAAAACGGGGGATTGAAACCTAGGTGACGGAAATAACATAAACCAGTTGAATTCAACACGTCTTGCTTGATGAAATTGCAGTG